CAAACACAGTCAGTATTTATTTCATCCTTCTTTGAGATGGAGGTATCTATTTCCATTATTGTGGCTAAAAGTAGCAATTAATAGAGGACTATCGTATTTATCTATTTTATTCCTGCAATTAAAGAATAAGTATACTTAAAACTAGAGAATCAAACTCATTGTTTGGCTTAATAATCATATAATCTGACAAGACCATACACAGAATAGCATTTCTTTTAGGAAACATTGCCAGGTAATGAGGTATTCCATCACAGTGAAGTTTTTACACATCTGTTCCTCTGCAAGCCCAAATGACAGACACAGGTTACCCAACAACAGTCTGAATCGCTCCCTTCAAACCAACTTTACCACAATGCCCATTCATTCTATCAGGACAGAGGCAAAGGCAGCACCAACTGCTTTCTTCTTTCTGCCTTTTTCTGTGTGAGCTGCTTCAGTTCCACTTGAGGGCACTGTCTACTTCCGCAGGAATGAAACCAATTTATAACTGCTGCTTATGTAACACACCTGTGGGCACCATGTAACCAAACTCCCTTAAAAGGGGTATGCGGAAACCTACCCAACCCCTTAATTTGGCTCTGTGCCTTTGAAGAGCCAAGGTAAGTGTTCGGGGTTTTGACTAAATGCTGTTAAAATGTCAGCATTTTCTCAAACAAGGAAATTAGTTTTTCTTGATTACTGTTATCACTAGGAATATAAATTATTTGTAAATCTCAATATGGAAGGCTGTTGTTACTTTGTTAAAAGGCTTTATATCCTGTCCTCTGGCTGTCTTTCCTGCTTTCTATAGATCTACATCCATCCTTAATGTCCTCTCTTGTAATCAGCCATTTTTTGCGGTTTCCTACAGTCTACATTTGACTCTTTTTACAGCCTTGCTGCTTTCCAACATATTACTTCCAATCGGTTCTAAGAAGTGGGATGCTGAGATATACTTGTGTGTTTGAAAAAGCAAAGCAAAGACAAGGAGGAGCAGAAACTGCTGGGAAGGGTCTTGAGGAGTAGCACGCATAGGCCTTATCACAAAGGGACCATTAGATCGCCTCCAGAGGCTGAGGAGCCAGAAAGCAATGTGAAAACAGTGAACTGCTGTTCTGGTTCTCAAAATATGCATTTCAAAATTTTGAGTCAAAAACATTTCACAACAATTCTATTCTAAAAATAATTTTTTTTAATTTTAGGATTTTCTAAATGTGACTGATTATCTTTTAGTAAAATCAGAACTACGTATTCTATTGATTCTATAGCCTAACAACTAATGCCACAATTTGAAAATTAAAAATTAGTGCTAATAAGATATTATCAAAGCAAAATAAAGTACTGTACATAATGTATCAGGATATTATATTTTAAATGAATTTCATTACAAAACTGTCTTTTGTAGCTCATTTAAGGGAGGTAGTAGTCCACAGTAAAAAAATGATTTGGCTTGGTTTATAAAAAGGCTCATGTCAATAAATAGCAGTTTTCAATCACAATTTTTTAAAGAGAACTAAATAAAGAGTGGTAAATTTTTGCACAATTACAGTTGCCCAAGTGGGACTGAGCTTATACACAATAACAGGATAAGTAATGACAGACCACTAGAACAGCCAAAGGAAACATTATAAAATATTGTTTAAAGTAGCAGCCAAAAATAAATGGCAAGTAACTTTTCCTCATTTAGAAGGAATACATTAAGAATAGATTTGAAACACATTAAAATTAATTCCTCTTGTTGCAAATGATAAAGTTGAAAGAGGAACTTTATAGCTGCATTGTAGGCATGCACATAATGATAAACTGAATGACCAGTTATCACCTCAAAATATCAATATCACAGTGGAAATGTGTTCACACATCCTTCCTTCCACTGAGTATGAATATAATGCCAACATTCTCACTCCACTGGGATCTGCACAATAGTTAAAACCTTGTAACCCCAACAAAAATCTGACCAAGGCAATATGAAGGGAAAGAACAAAGTCACACTGTGAGTTCTTTATGGACCAGGGTTAGTATGCTGATGCACTCAGGACAAAGTCAGACACTGAAACTGCAGAGATTCATGGTATAGTGACTGCTTTCCACAAGTCATCCCACCTCACTCAGCTTCTGCTGTAAATACAGGTCGGGATTGTCAGGCCACAACCCAAGAAGTCCCACCAAATTCAAAATGAAAAGGGGGTGGTACAAAAGGAGAAATTTTCATCTGTGCTCTCTTCTTACTGCGGAAGCAGAATCACTGTGAAGGGGAGTGTACCACAAATGACTCTTCTAAATATTATCTTATTTCAGATTGGATAACTGAGTGATCAAGAATATTTTGATAATTACAGAAAGTACTGAGGATTATCAGAGTTGGAATACAATAGTTTAGCCCTGAATTATTTAGCCTAAAATAAGGATGAATAGAAGCCTTTCTTTTGAGGACACTGGAGAGGGGAAACAGTAAAGCACCACAGAGATTTGAAATCATATCTGGTTATCTGAGCTTGTTGACAGTCTGAATTCTAAGTAAAGGAGGATTTAATTAAGATGAAATCATTATATTAAATAAACAATTTCCTATGGATAAAATGGAAAGATGATCAAGAAATGAGTCTTACATAAAATAGTCAAGATCAGAAATTCCAAGTTCTAAAAACACAGACAATATAAAGGATCACTAGCTACATTAAAATGACCACTGTTAACTTATCTAGCAGATACAGTGTCATTTTGATGGTCAAGTGATCAGGTTGTATTGTTCATTAGAATCTCACAAACACAGGTGTAATTCAAGAACTTCTGGCATAGCCTGAGGTAGGCTGATTGTTTTGAAAAGCCATGGGAAGCTTTCTAAATCAGTATAAAAGTTACAATACTAAAATGCTGCCTTGATAGAAAATGGAAAGAAGTAGGCAGGTTGGCATGAACGCCCAAGAAAAAAGATATCTTTTTCCAAATATTTCAAAGCCGCTAGAATCAGTATCATTTTAAGAAAGAACCATGTCTCACTAAAAGAACAACTTGTTACAAGCCTAAAGAGCTAAACAGAAATATAGAGATTTCAGGACCAGAAAAGAAAAGGTCAGTTTTAATTTTCCTCAGAGACTAGCTTGTGACAACAAGGGTCCCTAAAACAAGTAGAATTAAAAAAAAAAAAATCTGGCAGTTGCATGTACAGGATCACCTCAGAAGAACAGAAAACTCCTGTGCCCAGCCACTGCACTCTCAAACTGTAACTCCACTCTCTTTTCTACCTCCAGGAACTAGACCAGAAGCTTGGTTAGCTTAAGTGCTAACAGTGAAATCAAAATGCTATTTCCTCATCTGTTTAGTGATTAAAAGTTTCTTCTAGATTAATGAAAGACTTAGGGAATGAGAAAAATTATTTTTGCTAAAATATCACTAATTCTCTGGATAAATGAAGTCACAATTTTCATATTATTACTTGCTACATGTGTAAGTAGAAACAAATAAGGAAAATGCCACAATTATGAAACCAACTTGCTTTGAGATTCATTTGAAACTGGCTTCCTAGAACCTCACACCATCTGTGACATTCATAACATTGTATAAAAATAATGTTAAAAAAAGAAATTTTAGATCAGAGTCCAAACCAGGAGCAAAATACTAACATAGTTTGATGAGGAAGATAATCACTCCCTTCTTATATTAAAGACATCTTTAAATTGCTTAACCACAGTTTAGGTATGCAGACCACAAAAATGATTCCTCCTGAATCGCTATTATTTTATATAACAAGTGTCTGACCTTATCAACTCCTCACAGAAGTTACCACTCCAAACAAGGCTTCCTTTGCAAAAATATCTCAAAGTTTTGGAGCAGAACATTAGAGAATGTTCTCGGTATTGTCAACACTCAAAGTACATGAACCTCAATAAAAATTTCCAGCAAGTCATTTTCTCTTAATACTGTTCTAGTGGAAATCCACCCACTACCCAGTGGGGAACTGAAGGCTAAATTCTTGGGGCCATTCAACCTACTTGGGGTGTGAGGGGGTGTGCAGGAGACTGAGACTTGAATCACACCCTCTTGAGGCCTGGGTTTTTCTCTGGAGTCAATGACTGCAAAAATGAACAATCTTATTAAGATTCCTAATTAGCCCCAACTCAAAAGCAAGGTATGAATGCTCCTTTAAGGAGATAACTTTCCAAGGAAAATCAGAGGGAGGAAGGTGGCAGGGATAATGGGGCTTAGGAGATTGCGAGGCCTGGTGTCTGGAAGATGACCAGCACCCTAAAACATACAAATACCAAGGGGTGGAACAGAAAAGATGCCAAGGTCATGAATAACCGGACAACTGACCCAGCTGAGCCCAATTCAAGGCCATCAACTCCCTTCACGACTTCACGATTTTCCTCCAAGGCCGTCTGTCCATAAAACAAGAAGGGAGCAAGGATACCTGTCTCAACCGGGCACCCCTTTGACCTACAGAACTCCGAGCTGTGCAAAACCATTCTCCCCCTGGAAGGGGGAAACTGAAAGAAAAAGCAGAACACTCCACGAGCAAGGCCGCAACCCCAACTAATCTTCCTCGAGGGGAGCCACCAACATCCCCCAGTGGCACAGGCGTGAACCCCAACCCGGGGCTCTCCGTGCCCACTGCGGCAGTCGGGGGCCAGTTAGGGTCGGGACCTCAGTTTCCCCACCTGTCAACGGCGGGCCAAGGAGGGAGACTGAGTCCCGCGCGCCTCCCTGCCTGTCCTCCTGCCCCCGGGGTCCCGCAGTGGCCTCAGTGACTGGGGGTAGGGAGCCGGGGCTGACGACAGCGGGCTCCGCGCTCCCGGGTCTGGCCCGCTCCGGCGGTCCGGGGCAGCTAACGGGCGGGCGCCGAGGCCCGACGGTCGCCGGGGAGGCTCGAGGCGCCCAGGCCGGACAGGGTCGCCGGGGACCCGGCCTCTGCCGCTCGGCCGCGCTCACTCACCCTCCTCGGCGGCCGGTCGCTGCACGACCCCGGCCCTCCAGCCAGCGTCCCGGCCGGCCCGGCGCCCCACACCCAGCCCGGTATTTACCTCAGTCCTGCGGCCCCTGCGCAGCCGAACCTGCTACCTGGGCCCGCCCCCACCTGCCCCGCCTCCGAACCGCCCGCGGGGAGGGAGGGACGGGGGTGGAGAGGCAGCCGCCGTACCAGCCAATCGCAGCCCAAGATGTGTTCCGGAGCACGCTCTGATTGGATCTCTGTGGAACAGACCTTCCTCCAATGGCTGCCGGCGCGGCGTCGGCTGAAGGGACTTTCCGCTGGGTCAAGCTCGGTGGAGCCAAAGGGAAAGCTGAGGGAGAGGCGGAGGCGGGCGGGGCGAGGAGCGCGGGCTGATTGGACGAAATGCTGCGGGTGCCGCGTCACCATTGGCTGGTACTGGGCCTGGGCGGGGCGCGATGCTCTCAGCTCCACCTCCCCTTAGCTGTCAAAACTGGGGTGGGAAGCAGTCCAGAGGGCTGGAAATAACCATTTCCACAATTCTATGAAAGAGTAAAGCTTAGACTCACATCTAAGAGTCAATGTGTCTTCCTCAATTTGTCGCCATGTGACATGGGGAACTCCCAGTCATAGTGAGCCTCAATTTCCTCATCTGTAGAACAGAGATGTTAGTTTTACAGGGTTATTGTAGAATGCCATATTAGAGCTTCTAACACTAGGAGCTCAGTAAAGGTCAAAGTTCTTCCTACCCTTAGATGTGGCCTGGGACCCCTGCTGTTTCCGAACACCCGCCCCCCGTCTCCATCAATCTCAGGTTGGAGGGAGACTCCTAAGGCTAGAGAAGGGATTTCCACGCTCTGCCTTACCCAGCCCTGCACCCCTGGCCACTAGCCAGAATTTGGGGTGTAGTTAAGCATCTTTCAATTAGAAAGGAGGCTTCTGACTCCCAAAAGTGTTCAAAATATTTAAAGAAATCCTTTTTATAATCAGTCCCAGAGTCATGATGTACTGGATAGTCCTGTTAATTAATTTCTTCTCCTTTGACATTTAAGTACTAATTCGGGGGGAAAGTGATTAATACTGAGAAAGGAGGATGTGTGTGTGTGTGTGTGTGTGGTCTAACATTGTGTTGTGTGTGTGTGTGTGTGTGTGTGTGTGTGTGTGTGTGTGTGTTTAATCATGACACAAATTTTCCCAGTGGAAAGTGACATGTTTCTGAAGATCAAGGGAGTTGAAACCAAGCAGAACATATTATTACTAACAGTGGATCTAAGTTCACAGTTTTCTGGCCACAATTGCCCAGGATGAAATGGACACCTTTGAAACCTAACCCTCAATCCTATTCCAGGCTTCTTGAGCTCCAATGGGAGGTACTATGACAAGAATCAACAGTGGCTTGCAGTGGCCTTGGGAAACACCATTACCCTATAGATCTGGATTCTCCATGACACTGGCAGGACTCAGAGGTTCAGTCTGGCTGTGTGGGAGAACATTTCAGCCTGAATGTAAGGAGGAAGGAGTTGAGGAAGTGACAAGTTTGGGGATTTTTTAAAACTCTAATTTTCTCAGTTTGCCATGGTCCTCACCATTGTTCTCTTCCCCCAGATCGCATCTCTCCTCGGTTTTGTCTGTTGGCTCTTGGAGGCAAGTGATTTGTCACTCCTGGCTCAGGCATCTTTATGTTCTTTCTGAAAGGGGCATCTGACATGGTTAAGTTCTCTGCTTCAGCAGGGTTTGCTGTCTCATCAGCAGTGGCTGGACATCCCACTCAGCCCCTCCTGTCACATGTTCACTGAATCAAGGTCAGGGGCTGACTTGATCCAAGATGATCAGCTAAGCCAAACCTAATACACAAGCACTTCTTAGTCACCACCCCATCAGTTGGTACTGGCTGCCTAGAACTGAGCTGACATAACACTGTCATAAGCTGTATATTCAGGCTTAAGGCATGGATGCCAGTGGCTGAAACAGGAGAACAATTCATCATCGTGCTATTTATTATTTGTAGTTCTTCATTTGCCAGCCTCTCAGTTTACAGAAAGGAGATTAAGATCCAGAGAGGGAAAATAATTTCCGTCAGTCATACAGGACAGGCCTGAGACCCAGGCTCCCTGAATTTCAAGCAGGGTCATTTCCCTACCAGTGTTTAAATGGTTTCTCTGACTAAAATGTTCATCCTCCATCCTTCGCAATCCTCCCTTCGTGTAGGGACAACCAAAGGCCAGAGTCTTCTAAGAGTCTTTGTAGATGACTCCAGCCCCTCTCGATCTTTTCCCTACCCTCAGCCTAGGCCTGGGTTCATGCAGACTACTGACTGAGTTGCTCAGCAGCTACAGGGAAACACAGCAGTGGACAGGAGGGATGCCTCACCTGTCTCTAGCAAGGAAAGTGAATTAAGCCTACAGTGGCTGGCTTACAGTTACAGTTATGGTAAGAGCGGTTGTGATGGCTTGAAAGAATGTTCCCTACAGGCTCCAAGTATTTGGACATTCTGTTCCCAGTTGGTGGAGCTGTTTTGGGAGGTTTTTGGAAGTGTGGCCTTCCTGGAGGAAGTGTGTCACTGAAGGCAGGCTTTGAAAGTTTGTAAGCCTTGCCAGATTCCTCTCTCTCTCTCTCTCTCTCTCTCTCTCTCTCTCTCTCTCTCACTTCCTTGCCTGCTTGAAAGTATGAGCACTCCTCTTTTTGCTCTGGCATGCCACCATGCATTCCTGTCATGATGGACTCTATCCCTCTGGAACCGTAAGCTCAAGTAAACTTCCTTCTTTAAGCTCTCTTAATCATGGTATCTTATCATAGCAACAGATAATACAGCAGTCCAAAAAGAGCAGTCAAATAAGAATTCTATTTGAGGCAGTGGACACACTAGGCATAGTCAGGTCCAGCCCAACACATGTTAGGGGGCACTCAGAGGGCTGAAAAGGCACCTGTAGAATGAGGGAGGAGTGATGATGTCAGTAGGGGTTGAGGGAGCACTCCAAATGGAACAGAAAATATATGATATGTGTCTTAGTTTGTTTCTTCATTGCTGTAACAAAATACTCTGACCTTCCTCCAACTGGGGGAGGAAAAGGTTTATTTAGCTTACATCTACCAGGTCATAGTTCATCAGGGAGCCCAAGGTAGGAACTCAGGACAGGAACATGGAAGCAGGAGCTGGAGAACAGGCCACGGAGGAACACTGCTTACTGGCTTGCTCTCTGGCCCCTGCTCAGCCTGCTTTCTTATGCAACACAGGCCCACCTGCCCAGGGGTGGCACCACCCACAGTGGGCTGGGCCCTCCCACATCACTCATCAAGAAGATGCCCCTCAGATATGGCCACAGGCCAGTCCAATAGAGGCAATCCCCCAACTGAGGCTCCCTCAACCCAGGTGTGTCAAGTTGACACTAAAGCTATCCAGCACA